AGGGCCTCTGGTTAATGTTGTTTATGTCAGCAGCCAGATAGTTAAATATAATGTCTTTCCTTGTCTGCCTATTGTTTAGCCTGTCATCATTATCATGAGGTTTCCAAATAGCGTTGTCGTTCATAATTTTTGGCGGATCTCTTTCTTTTTCTTTTTGATATTTATGCATCCTTGCCCGCGTAGGAATACAAGGTTATGCCAAGTTGATTTAGCCTTTATGGGTGCCCCGGTTAAAACATTTTTTAAGGTTGAACGTGGTGTGTTCTTCTTCTTCCTCACGTTTACCGGCTGCAGACTCCGGTTCAAAGTTTTGGTTGTTGTTAGTCTTGTTACAGAACCTGAGTTTTGCGCGCTCATTTTACAGATCTGGCTTATCTGAATGCATACTTTTCGTTCCTTGCCTATCAGACAGATGCCATAATTAACCGACTTCTACGACATGCTTTGTAGAGAGGCAGCTGGTCTGCTCTTGTTTCACACGGAGAGAACGGGTATCTGGAATCTGCCCTTTTGTTCTGCCATGCGAAGTGAGATTTTGTAATCTCATAGTGCCAAACGTTGAGGTAGCAGGCAGGATAGACTTTTTCTCTATTGCATTCATTATGTCATTGTCAGAACCCATCCCTTGTCACTTCCCTGAGCATCATCTGCCTTGTCTTCAGTTTTCTTCCTGCGATGTTTGCCCCCTCATTTCCAATCGCATTTATAAAAAGTAATAAAGGCTTGAAAAGGGGTATTTTACTTTTACTTACTGCTTTTTATTATTGCGTGCCCTTGTAAACTTGCATTGGATTTTCGCAAGCAATATATGTTATTTACGCAGGCCATTTGGCCAGTGTTATAACTTTCTAAAACATATCTAGGGCATTATGAGAACATCAAAGACACTAATAAGATCTGTCAAAGACACGAGGAGATCTAGCAAAGACATTTATGAGACCTATCAAAGACATTTATGAGATCTATCAAAAACATGTATGAGATCTATCAAAGACATTTATGAGATCTGTCAAAGACATTTATGAGATCTGTGAAAGACATTTATGAGATCTATCAAAGACATTTATGAGATCTATCAAAGACATTTATGAGATCTGTCAAAGACATTTATGAGATCTATCAAAGACATTTATGAGATCTATCAAAGACATTTATGAGATCTGTCAAAGACATTTATGAGATCTATCAAAGACATTTATGAGATCTGTCAAAGACATTTATGAGATCTGTCAAAGACACGATGAGATCTGTCAAAGACATTTATGAGATCTATCAAAGACATTTATGAGATCTGTCAAAGACATTTATGAGATCTGTCAAAGACATTTATGAGATCTGTCAAAGACATTTATGAGATCAAAGACACGATGAGATCTATCAAAGACATTTATGAGATCTGTCAAAGACATTTATGAGATCTGTCAAAGACATTCATGAGATCTGTCAAAGACATTTATGAGATCTGTCAAAGACATTTATGAGATCTGTCAAAGACATTTATGAGATCTGTCAAAGTCATTTATGAGACCTATCAAAGACACGATGAGATCTGTCAAAGACATTTAAGAGACCTATCAAAGACATTTATGAGATCTGTCAAAGACATTTATGAGATCTGTCAAAGACATTTATGAGATCTATCAAAGACACGATGAGATCTGTCAAAGACATTTATGAGACCTATCACCAATATTTTTTAATGAAACCTACCTGAGATTTGTATGAGACTTCTCTGAGACAAATCTTAAACACTTCTGAGACATAGCGAAATCCTATTCAGAGGCCCTAGGCAGGAGCATACAGTGCCGACTTTGACTTCAGTTCTATGACACACAGGCGCCGGAATCACAGCTTGCTCCCCCCGCCTTTTTTTTTATTCACCTTCTAGAAACTTTGGAAATGCTAAGCGCCCTGTCCCACCCCATCCCTCCCCTCCCCAACCTCCAGCAATGTAAAAAAAAAATTCTCTTTTAAAGTGTATAGTAGTTAATTCCCTTCAATTACAAATATATTATGTTTATTTCTCATTCAGCAGATTATTTTTTTATTATAGCGCATTTAAACAAGCTGTAAGCACATTGATCTCACCCCTAAAAAATCTATATGGAGGCTGATCTTTCCCGGGGCCTTTGTGTGTCGTCCCTGCTATCAAATGATACCTTTATATGAAGTTCATTTTGTTTATATTATCGTTTGTTGCCTTTCTTGATTAGTAGTTCTAACACAATGACAATCCAAGCTCTAATTTTTTGTCTAAAAATTGAATTGTTATGTCCTTATGGTCTCCAGCTTGTAAAGTCTGTGGTTGTCTGTAAAAGGCCCTTTTTCACAACTTCAGACATGCTGGGATAGCGCTAGACCTATATTTTAAAGACCAATTGGGATTTGGTGCGTGATGTGTTGAACATCACGCCGGCTGCCTTTACTTCCCACGACTTTACCTGGCATCCATTCAAAGCTGGCATGACCAAAGAGTCAAAGTTAATTTTTTAAGTGCAGCTCGGTTAGGATTTGAACCCACTACCTTCAGAACCCAAGGCGAGCTAGCGACTTTACCATTCTATATTTGTGTAGACTAATCGATGAGTAGCTGAGCTACGAACTGTCATCATAAAACTCATGACATTCCTATAAGCGTGCCGTTCCCATCCTCAGCAGCCAGCAAAGAGATCAAACTGCGATGCTGCCAGTAAAAGTTTGATTGTATGGCCTTCCTGCTTTTCCTCTGCCTAAAGGGTGTGGATCAGATCTCCTGGTAAATCCTACCTGCCATCCTCTCCAGACCATAATATTTAATTCATGCATCTGTATTGTTTACTTGTTCCCAAAGGGCTTTGACCAAACCTGGCTTGTCAGGCAAAAATTTGCCCCCATTGGTAATGAACCAGTCAGTCTGTCTTCTTGTTCATTTCCTAACACTCGTGATATACGCCAGAAAAAGTATATAAAAAAGCGAACCATCTGGGACTTCTAAAACGATGCTTGCCACTTTGCACTGAGCCTGCCTGTCTCCTACTATCTTCACATGCTTTGTGAGTCTGTTACAATCACGAAATCTGTACACCGGTTCTCAAGCCAGTGTAAAACTGCTGTGGTTGCCTCCATCTCAATCCTCAGACTAGATGATATAGAATCATATGCTAGACTTTGTTAGGCAAAGCTTCGTTCATTTGTTTCCGCAATGAACCCACATTCACCTCTTCTACTTCTCAACACAGAATCATCTGTATAATTCGCATCAGCTTAACGGGAATTATCATGAATTAATCGTTGATTGATTGATTCTGCAGTGCCTCCTGGCCAATCCCTGACCCCCCCCCCCTTTTTTTTTCCCCTTCTGGGCCAAGTGTGGTTAAAACAATACTCTGCTTTTGTACTGACACTTTGACCCACTACTTTCCTTTCCCAATTGTTTTTTGTTTTTTTTTTTAAACATACAGACATTTCTCATTGTGTTTTATGTTTGTGTTTTCAAGACTTCCTTCTAACTAACCTGTGTAGAAGGTAGATTTTGTAAACATCTATCGTGAAGTATGACCTGGCTTGTAGAACTTGAAGCGTGTATGCAATATTCGGCAGTGCAAGGATATATAGCACCTAGACTACTGGGGTGTCTCTTGTACATCTTAGAATCACCCGTAGGGCTTCATTTTGTATGCGTTTATGCTTCACTAGGTGACTCTTTGATACAGTGAGCAACCCTAGTCCATAATCCTTCACCTAAATAATCAAATGCTGGCATTTTGTGAACACCATTTCCAGCTGTATGTCCATTGTTGCCATAATGTTTAGTGTATTCAGCTCCCTTTGGCGATTTCCTGCAATCGCCTCCACATTGTACCTAAATGACAGGTTCCTATCGAAAGTGATTCTGGATGAGTAATGTAGTCGGTACCACACCGGCCGCCTTTACTTCCCCATGATATCACCTGATACACATTTTAGACTATCACGACATTAAAGCTCATCATCATGTAGCAGGTCCTTTGCAGAACGTCGCTCTCATCACGGTCTGCCTGAAAGATATTCGGTCTCTCGCCAGCTCTCACGCCTCATGTACTTTCATATTCAAGGAGTCACTTATATCCTGTGCCCATCTTCGTGTTGGTCGGCCCCTGCCCCTCCTTCTCGGTACCATGCCTTCTGCTATAATTGTTTTCAATCCCTCGTGGCCTTTGAGATGATAAAAATATTTCAGCTTCCGAGACAGGATGCTGATTATTAGACATTAAAGCTACAGTCAGTTTTTCAAAGCTTTTTCTCATTAGGGATTCAAATCTAAAACAGCAGCATGGTTAGGCAGGTATGCCTACGACTGCTCTACCGTGATTCCTATTCGACAGAGTAAACAAGAGATTAATTACCCATATCCTCTGATTGGCTGGGGTAGATGTTACAGCTCTGATGCTGTCGTGTGGAGTGGTGACATGTGTGCCAGTTCTCAGCTAGAACGTGTATGTAATCAATCTAGTATAAATCTCCCACCTACACTATGTTTGTCATAGCAGTGAGCTATCTGGTCTGTGGTGTGTATGATTTCAGTGGGACTCTCTCGGTGAGTGCACCAACATGGACAGGGACTAAACAAAGAGCAAGACGATTGGACACAGAGTATCACCTGCTGGGAGAGGCTCATTTGCTAAAGAAGATCTTTCAAGAACTAGTTCAAGAACTACCGGAAAGATCGATAGAAAGAGAGACGCCTTAACTGATAAAATAACTTAACAATTAGTATTGCACAATTATTTTATTAACAATAAATAGTCAGTTGTAGGGACAATTTGGTAGTGACGTTAGTGAAAGAATAGTTGAGCGTGCATTCTAGTAGGCGTTATCTTCAACTGTGACGAAACTGTTGCAAAGATAAGATAATTTTGCTAGATCACGATTTTAGCTAGAGTTCGTTTATAAACAGAAGTTTTTGATAGAATAATTCGTTGACACATTACAGCACTTGTAGACGTGTCGAACCATAGCTCCGCTGTTCGGACCTTCGTAAAATGAACATCGTCTATGGGATTCTACTGCTCCTGTCTGTAACCCTAAGTGAGCTGGAGCTGATCGTTGCGGAGAATGAGGGTCACTTTGAGAACTCTTGGGCAGCTGAGATCATTGGAGGGGTAGACGTGGCCAGGGAGGTAGCAGAGCAGCATGGATACAGGCTCGTCAGATCGGTAATATCTTTCAATATTGTTTGTTACTTTTTTTCTCCTGTCATCATTGTATTCATTTATTATTGTCAGTTGTTAAACATTGTTTTAAAATCTTTCAGTCCCAGGCAAACATGTCTTAAATTGTTTCAATTTTAAAGGTGTGAAATGATAACGGTTAGTGGTGAGTTGTGATCGGTTCGCATGGGTAAGTGTTAGCAGGTAACAATTACACTGGAGATGGTATCACGTGTTGTTTCCTCCTCGTCGCTTCGGTGTTGAAAGTATGCGGCCAGCATTGTATTACTAGCCATTAGAAGCTGTCACACGTTACAGTTTTTGCATGAGTGACGTAAGCATTCAGCCAGTTCTTCTTTCGCATTGTTCCAGACATAAACCAAATGGGGCATGTGTAATAAGTAATAAACAGTAATAATAAGTAGTGAAATAGTGTATTTATTTTAATTTTACTTTTGGTAATGGAAAGTGTAAGTGGCGGTTACAGTCATTACATGCACGCTTGGCCACAGATAATGGTCTGTGTCTAACTATGTTCAGTTATTACCTTCCTGAGATCAAACAATTTTAAGTAATACATGAGTTGCAACAGGATAGTCCTACAACTGGAAGGACATAACAAGTGATTCAAACATTTCACTTATACTGCGCCCTTATAAAGGGATCATGAGGTAGTTGACATCTAATGAGTTAAGGTTTCTGGGTTAATTGACAGGTAATAGTTTTAGGGCCATGAGATCTGAGCTTTGAGGAAAACTGGCTGATAAATATTATCATATCCCCAAAGCTTAGGTATTTTGGTCGTTTAAAGTCATGTTGCCCTGGAGAGCACGTGGTGGAGTGTACAGTTTCAACAAAACCAGGCATAGACAGACCTCTGCGAAGTTTGATACAAGAGATTGAACATTCATTGGCTATGAAAGCACATTGGGCTGGAGTACTGTCTGGAATTAGAGAGTTCTTCATGCGTGCGGTGACGAGAGCGACGTTCTATCAAGGACCTAGTGACTGTTGATGAAATATAGTCCCACAAAAGTGTCAAGCGCAAAATTCTTACATATTCTATGCCACAACATATGACGACGGTGGCCAGGTGTTTGTCTCCGTACCTTTCCTTCTCATACAAATCCTACACGATTCTGGACATTGATAACCATTTATCTGCTATACCAGCCTGGCTCTGACTTAGACATGCTTGAACACTTCACTGGAAGTCACAGTAATATTCAGTCTATTTCTTTGGGCATGCAAATAATTGCTCATTCTTTATTATTCTGCTGCAACAAGTAACACAAGCAACACTAACTTCATTGTGTTGTTTTTCTAATTACTGATTGTATCTTCACTGTGTTTTTACAATGAGTAGGATGCATATAACAAACTTAGTACTGTCTGTTTGTAACATACTTCGATAACAAAATGGTATGCATTCTTAGCACCACTTTGTCAGATTTTATATAGAAACTGGCAGGCGGGGAGGGGAGAAAAAGAGAGAGGGAGCCAGGGAGGGAGGGAGAGAAAGCGTCCACTCAAGCGTCACAAATGGCAGACTCAAGCGACTTACATTCGGCTCTTCCAAATAATAATCTTTCACACAAAAATTGTCTCTTATAATAAAATGTATGTCTGGATCATAGAAATAAATATAAAACAAATCTAACTCAAATACACAAAACATGATTGGCAAATGCATAAACTGAAGTGTAGATACACACATACACACTCACTCTTTCTCTCTGTCCCTCCCTCCCTCTCCCACACACATTAATATTCATAAACACACTCACACATATGTACACACTCACTCATACTGTGTGGACAAAAATGACAACTGGCACTTTAACATCACAATTGGCAACATTTGCGTTGCAGTATTTTTTGACTACAGGAAAGCCTTTGACAAGGTTGATCAAAATATTTTAATTAGTAAATTTGAAAAAAAAACGTTAAATAAAAACTAACGATACCTTCACAACAATTGCCAAGAAAACTGTTATCAACTGACGACGTATGTTTTCGTTGATAAACATTTCATGCTTTATTCTTTTTTTGAGGGGGGGGGGGGGGGGGGGCGGCATGGCATCAAAATGGGCTCCTCGTTGATAAATTGCCTGTCAATATTGGCGAACATAAAACGTTAAGTATCCTAATTTACAGAAATTTAACTTGGAGTTCTCAAGTTTATGCCTAACCCCCACCCACTCCCCCTTCTCTCCCGCCCCCAAAGCCATAAAAAACGTTTAAAAAAAAACTTTGCAAAATTCAGCAATATCTGAACGAAAACACACGTAAAATGTTGAGTATCCTATATCAAAACGCATATTGATTATTGTTACACAATTTGAGATAGTTGTTCCAAATCTAATGTTTAACGACTGTGTTCTCTACAAAATAAGGCCTTACTTCTACTCTCCAATATAAATTACGTCCAAAATATCTCTTATGCGGACATCTAAGATTTATGCCATATAGTAAACGTTTTAAATTTTAACCAGAACAAATTCTTTCATTTAAAAAAAAAACATCTAAAAAATACTCCAATTTCCGGTTCATTCTATCCATTCTGTCGAAAAGCAAGGGGTTAAGTTAATTATATTTGTCTAAACCTAGATAAACTACCAACTGGCTCCACTTCTTCGTCATCCAAAGATCTCGATACCAGCCAAACAACGTATGATCAACAGCATTTTCATCCCTACGTTATGTTATCAGTGCCAAACGTGGACAATGAACAAATCACATATGCAAAAAATAACTACGTGTAAAATGCGATGTCTCCGAAGAGTCACCAACAATACACGAAGAGACAGAGTCACAAACGTCAGCATTAGTGACAAAGTTGGAACAAGAGCATGCATGGAACATATTGAAAGACAGAGAATGAAGTGGTTTGGTCATTTAGTTAGAATGCAACCGGATCAGATTGCCTATAAGGCCTTTTACAATAGAACATCGGGAAGAAAGGCCAGAGGAAGACCCAGGAAAAAATGGATAGAATGAGTTGCTGAATACTGCCAGAAGATCCAGAAAACTGTCACTCAAATCACGCGAGAGGCACAAAACATATTTTAAACCTCGACACTGGGCTGCAACCCGGTAAAAGTGAAGAAGACAATAGATAGATAGATAGAAACCTAGATTAATTTATTAAACAACACATTTAGCATATTCGGCTGGTCATTTATGGAACCATCTTGCAGTCAATCTGAACACTGCAAAGAGTACCTGCTCATTTAAAAGCAAACTTTTTTCAATTCTTGTTTACCCGTGATTATATGCCACCTTAAGTTGAGTTAATCTCTAATGCACTAGTATTTCATCACTATATACGTGTGTAAAATAAGTACATAAAAGTGTTTGTTATATAATGTATATGTGTGTGCATATGATTGTGTATTTATGAGTGTGCGCATGAATACGTACGTTTGAGTGTGTGTGCACGTGGGCGTCCATGTATGTATGTGTTTGTAAGTGTGATATGTATTTGTATAGGTATTTGTGTATGCATGTATGTATGTATGGGTGCTTGTGTATATATTTCAGAGTGTGTGTATGTATGTATGTATGTATGGATGGATGGATGGATGGATGGATGGATGGATGGATGGATGGATGGATGGATGGATGGATGGATGGATGGATGGATGGATGGATGGATGGATGGATGGATGTATGGATGTATGGATGGATGGCTAGCTGGCTGGCTGGCTGGGTGGCTGGCTGACTGGCTGGCTGGCTGGCTGGATGGATGGCTGGATGGCTGGATGGATGGATGTATGTATGTATGTATGTGTGGATGTATGTATTATGTGGATGTATGTACGTATGTGTGTAGGTGTATGTGTGTACGTATATTTGTGGATGGGTATTTTTATGTAGTTTACGTGTATGTTTTTGTATATGTGTGTGTGCGTGTATGCATATGTGTGTGCGTGTATGTATATGTGTTTGCGTGTATGTCTGGATGGATGGATATGTGTATGTATGTATTATGAATGTATGTATGTATTGTGTATATATGCATATGAATTTTTATATTTATGAGTTTTTATGTGTTTGTGTATGTATAAGCCTGTATGAGTATGTGTGCGTGTGTATTTTGTAGATTTTGTGTATGAGTTGTCTGAGTATTATTTTCTCTGTGTGCATTTTTTTGTATAAACATAACCTGTATTAGTGATAACATGTAATTGTGATGTAACACATGAGTGCTTGGAATGGTCGACGTAATTTTCATTCAAAATATAGTTTGTTTGTCTGTTCTACCGGTTGATCTGTCCTCATGTATGTTTATATGTTTCTGTTTGACTGTCTGCCTGCCTGTCTGTTTGGCTGTATTATGTCTGTCAGTCTATCTGTCTCTATGTCTCTCTCTTTCTCTCTTTCTCTTTCTCTGTCTATATATATATATATATATATATATATATATATATATATATATATATATATATATATGTATATATATATATATAAGTAAGGAGTGATGCCAAAAGGTACCGTGCTTGATAAGCTGTTATCGGAGTTCATCAAACACCAGACGGTGTGTAAGTATTTCATCTCTGTTTGATCTGGAGTTACAAAAGAAGTATTTCAAAAGATATTTTAATAAACTGTACATCAAATGTTGCCACTTTGATAAACCTATTCTATTTCTTTGCGTTTTTTTTTTTTTTCACTGTGGGTCAGTTTCTGGGAAAGCCTGGGACATACAAAATCATTGTTAAACAATTATAAAAATGCAAATGAAATAATATGAAACGTATCACCGCATACGGGAGCCGCTGTGATGTAGTGGATAGACGCTCGCCTGCGGATCGGCAGGTCGTGAGTTCGGGTCCTGACTATTTTTTAAAAACGTCTTTGGCTCCCATGTCGTCCCAGCCTTGAGTGCGTACAAGGTATAGTCATGGGAAGTAAAGGCAGCTGGTGTGGTGCTGAGCATATCAGCCACTCGGTGTATAAAATAAATGTCTAGTCCTTTTTGCCTAGAACGTCTGGAGGCGTGG